AACACCGCCAACTCATAGGCTACTTTTTTACCAACAAATAGTGGGATTGAACGTCACATTATAACCCCACCACGGCTGAAAGGGACGAGCATATTTGGTGTGACGGGGATTCGAACCCGCGACTCACAGATTGCGAGGCAAGCGTCCTAACCATCTGGCCATGCCGATTTATATGAATAAGACCTAGACAATGTACCCATCGCCAGAAATCAGGTTTCGATACTCTTGGTGGGCACAGCACAAATAGCCCACCGTGTAACTTTGTGCTTAATTACAAACAAAAAAACCTTTTAAAAAACGAACAGTTAAAAATTAAATATTTTCTTCCCTTTAGATCACATGCCTCTTTTAATTTTCTATAAAATATTAGCCCTTCTTCCATTCTTGAAAGAATGAACCTACCTTTGCTCGATGGATGTGCTGATGTTGATACTCTGAATCAAACTCTGGCTCCGAGAAGTAATTTAGTTCCTGATCACAAGTGCTCAATCCATCCCCTTCGTTCACATTTTGTTCGTAGATACGAAGTACCGAACGATCTCGAATATCTCTTCAAAATTAGTCAAAAGACAAAATATTTATTTATCATTATTTAAATTCTTCCATAATTATATTCATTACTTCTATTTAGAAATGTCTGTTACGAATGGCGTTTTCCTACAGTTTTAATTTTAAATGAAAAACTAGCAAGAAAAAAAACAGATTTGGTTGATACTAAATGTATTATAGTTGTTCAACGTAAACCTTTTACGAATGATCAAATATATATACAGAACTTTAAAGTACCATCTTCTAAGTGTTCTTTCTTTGTTTATATATATTTTGCGAGTAGCATAATATTTATCTTAGTTTGAGAATTTCAATAATCGTAACACTGTAAAGAGCAAATCAAACATGAACCTGTCTGGATTTGTTTTGTAAAATAACTGGAATTCACTGTAATGACTAATCTAACTGCTTTTAGCAAGTGGTTTTATCCTTTTAGTCTTCATATAAGCTGCAACCATAGGTATAGAGAAGATGAGTATATTATACTAAACCAATTTTCAAGGTTCACCATGTTGTTACATCAATGTCGCCAAGTCCAGTTATGCTCTATTTGACGGTCGTGCATCTTGACAGTAGACCTCCGACGTAATTTCCACTGTAAAAAGACTCCGTCTTAAGGCTGCCATGTCCAAAGCACACCACTTCTCCCGTGGCTTTCCACCATCCATCTTGTGTACGAAGATGACGGTTTCTCAGCGTCCACTTCAACAGTCCGATCGTACATAAATCCATAGGCGCTGCATCCACCGACTTGACTGGTATGTCTTCATATGTACTATTATGAATATCAGTTGCATTCTTTAGCTGCTTGAAGTATGCGATTGTTGAACGGATATGTCATTGAAGCAGCTTGTATACGTGTGACTTGTTGTCGCCTTTTCAGATCAACATCCTTTTTTATTACGTTGCGTATTGATGCCTGCATGGGGCACGTAGACAGCTTTACCATTGACTAGGTAAAACGAACTAGGTGTTCGTGGATTTTCACCTTTCTTCCCCATGGCTGGGGTATTTGTTGTAGGCCTGTTTCTTGGCGATCCTGATTTCCCAAGTTGATACATATTTCCTTTATTTTCCAATGCCATTAAGTACGTGTGATATATCTGTCTTGAAAATTCTAAATCCCTATCTGAACACATCTTATGACTTGACTGTATGATTATTTTGTGTCGGAAAGAGCTGTTACATATTCTTCACAAAAGTGATCAATTTTCGGTATCATCACAGTGCCTACAAATTTTATCTATTTTACCTAGTCTTTATATCGGTTGTGGTTGTCACGTGACTTGTTGATTTGCACATTGAAAATCGTCTTAGTATATTGCACTCAACCGTTTCTAACCACAATGTCCATAAAAGTATTTTTGTTAAACTACTTATTAACTGGCTAAGCTCTAAATACTTACAGTAAAAATACTTTTAAAAACATGTGAAGTTAACTTGTTTTTATAAGAAAATTACACCGACGACTGGAAGCTGCAGCTGACTTCTTGTTAATAAAATGGGAGTTTTGGCTACAGGTACATAAAATAAATGTTTTAAAAGATTTTTTTACACGAAATAAGTCATGTTTAAAGAAATTAACTACTCTGTTTCCACGTCCTTATTTTCACTGCATGTATCGATCCTACGTAAGCGCACATTTATGCAATTTTGTTTAGTTCCTATTTTGTTTCAGTTTGTTAATGTAAACACCACTATTTAAACAACTTCAGTGATAAATATTAAAACACAATATTGCTTAAAATGACACCTCTGGCTGTTTTGTTAAAAACAAACTACTGTTTATGTCAAAGTGTCAATACAGTCGTTTACTGTATGTTAAGGTTTTGAACCATTTACTTTATGTTGCAGATATTCAGTGGTAAAAAGTAACTACTGACCGAATCTAAATTAATATTATATACACCTTATGTATCAGCCCATAAAGTCAGAACATGTTGAGCAAGGCCACTCGCATGGCAGCATATTAGAAATTATAAATTTTCAACAAAATTAAGACACTGTAATTAGTGAACTAATAGCGTTTTGCTATTTCGATCAGTTTCATCTTAAACGAATCATCAGACACATTGCGTTTGGAGTAATGCAGTGTCGATGGTAGTTGATAGAAAGTGTGTATATATATATATGTATATATTTGCGTGAATGTTTCCTCTTTTTAAAGAAGTATTATTTGTTCACCATTACATAATCCTAATATGTGCCAACACACATCGTATCGCATACAACATATATGTATTCCTTCGACATAACTGTCTGATGTCTCACACTTCAGTGTGAACATTACCAGCTACTCAGTAAGCAACGGTACACTCCTCCTCTTCCATACACTCCTGTTGCTTCTAGAGCAAACCAGATTGTACAACATCTAAGCATTTTAAATTGAACATCATGTCAACGGACAACAGTCATGTCAAATGTTTTATGTACTCAAACCAAAACGCACTTAGATGGATGTTGTACTGCTGATAATACAAACCAAAGTATTTGTTATGCAAGGTATTTTCGTCCCTTCTTAATCTCAGTGCTGAGAAAGTCACCTGGACAAAAAGCAGTAACACTCAAATCGCGCCAAATGGCTTGTTTGTTTTGAATTTCGCGCAAAACTATACGAGGGTTCTCTGCGCTAGCCGTCCTCAATTTAGCAAGACTAGAGGGAAAGCAGCTAGTCGTCACCACACACCGCAAACTCTTGGGTTACTCTTTTACCAACGAATAGTAGGATTGACCGTCACATTATAACGCGAGCTTGTTCAGTGGGACGGGGATTTGAACCCGTGACCCTCAGATTGCAAGGCGAGCGCCCTAACAACCTGGCCATGACAGGCCAGCACCAACTGGCAGATACAAACAAGAAATACCATAACAATTGTAACAAAATGGATGTAATTGAACTGTTAGAGAACAAGTATGCGGCAACAAAAGGGTCAGTTTAAATAGAATTTGATAGGCCTAACAAGTTAATTGGTACAGTGAACTCTTTAATCTGATTGGACTGAACGAGTTTCAGTTTGATAAGTTTTTAAATACGATACTGTTTAAAGACGACCCTGGTTTCTATCTTTTGAGGAATAGTCATGTAATATTTGCACGAACATGTCTGTTTTTTCTTCGCTAAACTTCTAACTGAGTTTATCCTAAAAAGATCTGTCTGCAATTTTTGTTTCGGAAAATACTTTTATTTTAAAGAGTTTGTTTGTTTGTTTAAATTAAGCACAAAACTACACAAAGGGCTATCTGTGCTCTGCCCACCACGGGTATCGAAACCAGGTTTTCAGTGCTGTAAGTCCGCGGACATTCCGCTGTGCTACTGGGGGCTATTTTAAAAAGTTTGTTTTTAATTAAGCACAAAGCTACACAATGGATTATCTGTGCTCTGCCCACCACGAGTATCGAAACCCGGATTCTAGCGTTGTAAGTCTGCAGACATACCGCTGTGCCACTGGGGGGCATTTTAAAGAGAGCAATTCACTTAGTTCGTTCTGCTTTGGTGAGTGACTTTTCTCTTTTTATTTTGGATTTGGCCATACCGGCTTCCAAGAACTGATTTTTAGTCATACAGAGGGAAATAATGATGTTTGTCATCTTAGTTTTAGACGGGACGCATATATAT